TCTCCTTCCGACTTCTATAAGTGTTCTAGGACTCAGTCCTCTAATCTCTTTCCTGTCTCTTCTCACTCTCTAAGTGATTTCATCCAGCCTTGGGGTTTTAAATTCAGTCAAGGCCCTAACAGGAAAAAGCAAGTATGCTCAAATTAAGATAAATCAAAGAGGGTTCACTAAAGGGATTATAGCAGTCTTTCCTTATCTGCGAGGCATACATTCCAAGACCCCCAATAGATGCCTGAAACTGCAGATAGTACTAAATCCACGTATGCTGTTTTTTCCTGTACTTACATACCTTTTCATCTAAAGGAAGCACTCTATGCTTCTTTGTCATATTGGAATTGCCAGCATCACCACTCCTGTGTTCGGGGCTATTATTAAGTAAAATAAGGGTTACTTGAACACAAGCACTATGCTACCACAACAGTAGATCTGACAACCTAGCCAGCAACTAAGAGACTAACAGGTGTGGAGTGTTTACAACCTGAGGATATGGTAGACAAAGGGATGATTCATGTCTGGAGTGGGATAAAGTGGGGGTGCTGTGAGATCTTTATCACACCACTCAGAGTGGCATGCGATTTTAAACGTATGTACTGTTTAGTTCTGGAATTTTCCATTTAATATTTGGACTGTGGCTCACTGCAGGTAACTGAAAACAGGGAAAGTGAAACCAGGGTGGGAACTACTGTACTTACAAAGGTGTAAGGATGGCAGCAGTCTGAGGGTAGTAAGGGGAGGGGTCGTTACCACCCAAGGACCTCACGAGATGAAGGGAGCGAGCAGTTACTGCGTCTGGGGAGAAACAACCATGTGGCGACCTGTCTGACAGGAACTGTGAATTCGAGACAGGACTCAGGTAACTGAGGGGGAACTGCTGGGAGGGGGCTGAGGGGGTAAACCATCTCACTTTGATCTCCTCCCTTCTGATCTGCTGCCTGGCTCGCTGATCTAACTGGGAACCAGAGGACTGGAGTTTATTGACTTAATCCATACACGTTAGTCTGCATGGAGGCAGAAAACAGGGCGGAGAGGCGTGGGGAGAGAATCTGGAAACCCTACAGATATCCAGCACACTATCACGTGTTGAAAGTTCCCAACTTTTAAACTTCTCGAGTTGAATCACAATGGCCTATTGGGCATCTCTTGAATTTCCACTTGATTGTCCCATGCCCTAGCCTGGTTCCTGCCTGTCTCCTGGTTTCCCAACTCCTCTTCCAGTTTCACCACCATTCACTTGGTTCCTTAGGTCCAAACCTAGCTTTTCTCCTTGAATCCTTTATTTCTCTGATACTCAATGCATGAGAAAGTTATGTCAGCTTCACTTTTAACAAGTGTCCAGAATCTGGATCCATCTCACCAGCTCCTCTGCTTCCACCCTAGTCCATACCCACATCGTCGCTTGCTCATATGACTGCAATAGACTCCAAACAGGTCTCCCTACTTCTCTTGTTCCCACTGTGGTCTATTCTACTGTGGCCCCAATAGCTCTACACAATAGCCAGAGTGAGCTTTCCCTAGTCACTCCCTAACCCTTCACCTTGTCTAAATTTTCTCCCCAGAAACTATCTCCACTTAAATGTCTATTATATCTTTATTCATTTATTTGTTTATTGTCATTTTCTGCATTAAAATTTAGGCTACATGAAGGCAGGGATCTTCTTATCTACTGAGTTGTTCTCTCAGTTGAATAGACTATTTCATTCAAGAAAAAAAAATGAATAATACCTCTGCAAAAATCACTGTTAAAAGAATGAGAAGACAAGCCACAGACTGGAAGAAAATATTTGTGAAAGACATATCTGATAAAAGACTATTATCTAAAATATGCAAAGTACCTTTAAAATTCAACAATAAAAAAACTTGAAAAAGAACTTGATTTAAAAATGGGCAAAAGACCTAAACAGATGACTAACTCAAGAAGATATACAGATGACAAATAAGCATATGAAAAGATGTTCAATGTCATCTGTCACTAGGGAAGTACAAAATAAAACAATGAGATGTCACTACACACCTATTAGAATGGCCCAAATCCAAAACACTGGCAATGTTAAATGCTGACAGGGATGTGGAGCAACAGAAATTCTCATTCACTGCTGGTGGGAATGCAAAATGGTACAGCCACTTTGGGAGACAATATGGTGGTTTCTTACAAAACTAAATATACTCCTACTGTACCCCACCAGCAGTCGTGTTCCTTGGTGTTTACCCAAGTGAGTTGAAATTTATATCCACACAAAAACCTGCACACAGATGTTTACCTCATCTGTATTCATCATTACCAAAACCTGGAAGCAACTAAGATGTCCTTCACTAGTTAAATGGGTAAAGTGTAATGTGACCAGTCAATGGAATATTTAGTCAGTGCTAGAAAGAAATGACCTATCAAGCCATGAAAAGATGTGGAGGAAACTTAAATGCAAATTACTAAATGAAAGAAGCCAATCTGAAAAGACAACATACTGTATGATTCTGACATGCTAGAAAAAACTAAATTATAGAGACAATGAAAGGATCAGTGGTGTCCTGGCTGGTGTGGCTCAGTGGATTGAGCACCAGACTACTAAGCAAAGGGTCGATGGTTCGATTCCCAGTCAGGACACATGCCTGGGTTGTGGACCAGGTCCCCAGTGAAGGGTGAGCGACAGGCAACCACACATTGATGTTTCTCTCTCTTTCTCTCTCTCCCTCCCTTCACTTCTCCCTAAAAATAAATAAATAAATAAAATCTTTTAAAAAAGGATCAGTGCTTACCAGGGGACAAAGGAGAGGGAAAGGTGAATAGGTAAAAAAACAGTATTTTTACAGCAGTGAAAGTGTTTTGTATTATACTATAATGATGGATATATTCAATTACACATTTGTCCACCCCCATAGAATGTAAAATACCCAGAGTGAACTACAGTGTAAACTATGGACTTCAGATGACAATGTAGGATCATTTATTGTAACTCATTTACCACTCTAGTTCACGATGTCGATAGTTTCAAGGAGACTATGCATGTGTGGAGACAAGCGGTTTATGGGAAATCTCTGTCCTTTGAAACCTAAAACTGCTCTAAAAATAAAGTTTTTTTTAAAAAAAAAGTATGTGGAAACCCTGGAGAAAAAAGAACCATAAATCTAGAAACACTGTCCCACTACATTCTGAAAATAATCAGAACCCTGAAAATTCCTAGTTTAATAGTCTTGGTAGTATTACGAGAATGCAATATATAGTGGTGAACATGAGGAAGGTGGGGAGGTACTGCTTCTGCAGATCCAAATAGAAAATTCATAGGGAAGATCTTTGATTAATGTAATTTGATTTACAAATCTACATCCTGACTTCAGCAGGGCAATGGGCTACTGAGAAAGGCTGAACCAGATTCACCTAGTAGGGTGATCCAGTGGACACAACATAGACAAGCTGTGGCTGAAATCCTGATGCACCCATAGGTCCTGCTATATAGCCACTGCTGGAATTTGCCAAACACATACCTCTCTGCTGCCCACTACTTTGGCCTTTCACCATATCCCCTGGGCCTCTCCTCACCATCTAGTTACTAAGAGAACACCTCCACACTCAGCCTGGCTGCTGTGGCTGACTTACAATATAATCAACTGGGCCACACCATAACAGTTGTTAAGTATTTTGACTGGGGAGCTTCCAGGTTGAGAAATCAGAATACTTTTAAGTACCAGTATGCCAGGGCCCCAAGCTCTGAGACAATAAAATCTCTTTGTTCAAAACCTTGCCCTGTGAATCTGTTCATCTGGCTGTTGCATTGCTATTAATAAGGGGTTTTAATTATGTAAAGGAAAGAAAGGCTAAAAATACCATTGGTTCACTATTAACTAGAAAGTATTGTAGAGTCATTTGAAAGATACAGCCAGCTTCTAAACCCACAACTGGTTTTGCCTGAATTAAGAAAAATCCTGTGATTTTATCTGCATGATGTCAGATTAGAATCGTTGAATAAGAAGAAAATGTGATCTTTCTGGAGACTGGGGAAGTTGTAAAGAACACAAAAATGAAAAATGGTCTTGTTGTTAAGACCAGGGGTTTTGTTCCTAAGACTGATGTTGACCAGACAACTTATTTGTCCTGAGGGTTTAATGTTTAAGGGAGTATCATGCAAGGAAGGAGTGAGGTGGGTTTGGATGTTCTTACTTTCATCAACAGCTGAATGCAGGAACAGCCAGATGGAAGAGATGCACAGGGCATGATAGGGCAGAAGGGTGGGGCACACCCATGCCCTCTCCTGGTGCACCACTCTCCCAGCACTTCTGTGTGTTCACCTACCCAGAAGCTCTCCAAAGTGAATGAAACTTTCTATGTTAGATGTCATTTAAGAGTATATTTGACGTCCATGTGGTCATCATTTAAAAATGTTTCATTGTTATTTCCAGCCAGAAAGGCATCCACTACCTTATTACACTGCTTCAGGAGTAGAACATTTGTTTATATTTTCTTCTAGATGTTACTTAACTTTTTAAATAAAGAGTTGCTTTTTAGTTTTAGTGAAATTTGTTTCCTAAGATGCTAGTGAATTAAAATGTAAATATAGCGACTTTGTATAATTACAACCAGGGCAGAGATTACTAGTACAGAAGTGGCTTGTTTCCTGATCTGTAGCCCCATGAAACAGTTAACCTTTACTGACTCAACATAACTTTGTTTATAAAGATATCCATTGATTCAGCTATTGAGGAAGGAAAGGGAAACTAAGAGGCAATTTTGCTACCCACTTCAGTGTGCCTTAGAGCAAATGTTGAAATTGGTAGATCCTAAGATACTTAAGAATTTCTAGTTCTGTCATTTGCCTTTGTTACTTTTCTTTGTAAATCTATACAATTACATGAATAAATTTTTCATTTTCCAGAGAAAAATATTTTAACAGCGGCCAGCTTCATGAGTGTGCAAACTGTGCAGTTGAAAAAGCCCTGTGCTTCTACCCAAAGCAATCTATAGAGTGAACCCAATTCCTATCAAAATTCTAATGATGGGACAGTGATGCAAGATGGCAGCCACCATGGGCTTTGGGGTAAAAGTCCCTCATAATTTTCAACTGCTGAAAGACCTCGAAGAAGGCCAGAAAGGAGCAGGAGATGGTACCGTTAGCTGGGGTCTAGAAGATGATGAAGACATGACACTTACCAGGTGGACAGGGATGATAATTGGGCCTCCAGGAACAATTTATGAAAACCAAATACACAGCCTTAGGACTTCCACCAAGACAGAGGCGTAGCTAGACACACTGTGCCTCCTCACACAACCAAAAGAAAGAGAACAACAAATTAAAAAACAAAAAGAACCAGAACTGACATAAAATTGAACTGTATGGAAATCTGACAACCAAGGAGTTAAAGAAGAAACATTCATCCAGACCAGTAGGAGGGGTGGAGATGGACAGCTGGGCAGAGAGGATTCCAGGTAAGGCAGCGGGTTGTGGACAAGGGCTGTCAAGGCTGCTGCTGGAGGACTGAGCAGTTCCACATTCACATGCAGATAAACCAGGAGGAACAACTGGGGAGCGAGACACTGTGCAAACCAGGGTTCCAGCATCAGGAAATAAAGCCTAAAACCTCTGACCAAAAAAACTGTGAGGGTTGTGGTGGCAGGAGAAACTCCCAGCCTCATAGGAGAGTTCATTGGAAAGACCCACAGGTTCCTAGAATGTACACAAACCTACCCACCTGGGAATCAGCACCAGAAGGGCCCAATTTGTTTGTGGGAAGCAGGGGAAGTGACTGAAAACTGGCAGAGAGTGGAACCAGCAGCATGGTTCCCTCTCAGACCCCTCCCCCACATATAGCATCACAATGCAGGCACGTGGGTTGCCCTGCCTTGGTGAACACCTAAGGCTCTGTCCCTTGCTACATAACATGTTCGCTGAGACAAAAAAATATGGCCAAAATGAAAGAGGATCAAAGCTCCAGAAAAAATACAACTAAGTGACAAAGAGATAGCCAAGCCATCAGATGCACAGTTCAAAACACTGGTAATCAGGATGCTCACTGAATTGGTTGAATATGGTCACAAATTAGAGGAAAAAATGAAGGCTATGAAAAGTGAAATAAAGGAAAATGTACAAGGAACCAACAGTGACGGGAAGAAAACTGGGACTCAAATCAACAATTTGGACCAGAAGGAAGAAATAAACAGCCAACCAGAACAGAATGAAGAAATAAAAATTAAAAAAAAAATGAGGAGAGGCTTAGGAACCTCCAGGACATCTCAAAACATTCCAGTATCTGAATCATAGGGGTACCAGAAGGAGAACAGGAAGAGCAAGAAGTTGAAAACTTATTTGAAAAATTAATGAAGGAGAACTTCCCCAATTTGGCAAAGGAAATAGACTTCCAGGAAGTCTAGGAAGCTCAGAGATCCCAAAGAAGTTGGACTGAAGGAGGAACACACCAAGGCACATCATAATTACATTAGCCAAGATTAAAGATGAGAGGATCTTAAAAGCAGCAAGAGAAAAGGAGTTACTTACAAAGGAGTTCCCATCAGACTGTGAGTTGATTTCTCAAAAGAGACCTTACAGGCAAGAAGGGGCTGGAAAGAAGTATTCAAAGTCATGAAAGGCAAGGACCTACATCTAAAATTACTCTATCCAGCAGAGTTATCATTTAGAATGGAAGAGCAAACAAAGTTCTTCCCAGATAAGGTCAAGTTAAAGTTCATCATCACCAAGCCCTTATTAAACGAAATGTTAAAGGGACTTATCTAAGAGAAAGAAGAAGATAAAAAATATGAACAGTAAAATGACAACAAACTCACAATTATCAACAATTGAACCTAAAAAAAAAACCCAGAAACAAAAATGAACTAAGCAAACAACTAGAACAGGAACAGAACTGCAGAAATGGAAATGACATGGAGGGTTATCAGTGGGGGAGTGAGAGAGGGAGAGAGGAGAAAAAGGTACAGAAAATAAGTAGCATAAATGGTAGGTAGAAAATAGACAGGGGGAGGTTAAGAATAGTATAGGAAATGTAGAAGCCAAAGAACTTATATGTTTTACCCATGGACATGAACTAAAGGGGGGGAATGTGGATGGGAGGGAGTGTGCAGGGAGGAGGGGAATAAAGGGGGAGAAATGGGACAACTGTAATAGCATCATCAATAAAATATATTAAAAAAACAAATATACATCCTTAAAATAGAATGTGCACCTAAATACCCCAAAGCACCCCCCTTTGTAAGATTTGCAACAAAAATTAATGTGAATGGAGCTAATAGTTCTAATGGAGTGGTGGACCCAAGAGCCATATCAGTGCTAGGAAAATGGCAGAATTCATATAGGATTAAAGTTGTCCTGCAGGAGCTGTGGCGCCTAATGATGTCTAAAGAAAATATGAAACTCCCTCAGCCACCTGAAGGACAGTGTTACAGCAATTAATCAAAAGAAAAACCACAGGCCCACCCCTTCTCCCATTTGATGTAAGCAGTCCTCATTTTCCACAGTAGTAAATTTTCTAGATACATCTTATAGACCTCAAAGTACTGGAAAGGAAGCTCCCATTCAAAGGCAATTTATCTTAAGATACTGTAAATGATATTAATTTTGTCCATTTGAAATATGTAAGTTGTGCTATAACAAAAATAATTGTAATGACGTAGAACCTAATTCACAGAACTAGGACAAATATTTCAAAACTTTATATGCAGCCATGAAAGGCCCTGAATAGCAACAGCGATCTTGAGAAAGAACAAAATTAGAGGAATCATACCACCTGATATCAAACTATACTATAAGACCATAGTAATCAAAATAGCATGGTACTGTCATAAAAACAGACACATAGATCAATGGAACAGAATAGAGTGCAGAAATAAACCCACATCCTTATAGTCAATTAATATTTGACAGAGGAAACAGACACATACATTGGGCTAAAGATAGTTTATTCATCAAATTGTGTTGGGAAAACTGGACAGATACATGCAGAAAAATGAAACTAGACCACCTTCTTATACCACACACAAGAATAAATTCAAAATGGATCAAAGACAAAAGTTAGCCTTGAAACCATAAAAACTGTAGAAGAAAAATAAGTAGCAAAATCTCAGACATTGCTTGTTGTGATATTTTATTAGATATATCTCCCCAGGCAAGGGAAACAAAATAAAAATAAATAAATAAATGGGACTACATCAAACTAAAAAGTTTTTTCACAACAAAGGAAACCATCAACAAAATAAAAAGACAACCTACGGAATGGGAGAACATATTCATCAATACATCTGACAAAGGTTTAATATCCAAAATTTATAAAGTACTTACAAAACTCAAAACAAAAAATAAATAAATAAAACCCACCCCAAACAACCCAATTAAAAAATGGGCAAAGGACCTGAATAGACGTTTCTCCAAAGAGGATGTACAGATGGCCAATAGACATATGAAAAGATGCTTGATGTCACTAATCATCAGAGAAATGCAAATTAAAACCCCAATGAGATATCCTCTCACTACTATCAGATTGGCCATCATCAATAAATCAACAAATAAGTGCTGCTGAGGATGAGGACAAGGGGGAATCCTTTTGCATTGTTGGTGGGAATGCAGACTCATGGAGCCACTGTGGAAAGCAGTATGGAGATACCACAAAAATTTAAAAATGGATCTGTTTTTCAACCCAGCTATCCCACTTCTGGGAATATATCGAAAGGAAACAAAACACTCATTCAAAAGAACATAAGCACCCCTATGTTCATGGCAGTGTTGCTTACGCTAGCCAAGATATGGAAGCAGCCCTAGTAGATGAGTGGGTAAAACAACTATGGGATATTTACACAATGGAATATTACTTGGACATAAAAAAAGAAAATTTTGCCTTTTGTGACAGTATGGGTGGACCTGGAGAACATTATACTAAGTGAAATAAGCCATTTAGAGAAAGGTAAATACCATATGGTTTCTTTCACTCATATGTGGAATCTGATGAACAAACAACTAACAAGGAAAATTGAGACAGCCTCATAGATGGAGAACAGGATGACAGCTAGTTGGGGGGAAGTTAGGGGGTGGAAGGATTGAGCAAAAAGGAAAAAGGTTAATAGACGTGGACAACAGTGTGGTGATTGCTGAGGGGCTGTGGGGATTAAATGGTAGTGGGAAAAGGGACTAAATGGTAGTGGGAAAAAAATGCAATAAAGATTAAATTTAAAAAGAAAAGAAAAGAAAACAAAAAGCCCTGTGCTTAGAAGGGTTCTGCACTTAGTTTAATGCTTGGCTGTCACCATCTTGGAATTCTTAGTACATTTTTTAAAATTATATTTTATTGTTTATGCTATTATAGTTGTTCCAATGTTCCCCTTGTGCCTCCTCCACGCAGCTTCCTCCCCGCTTTACATACAAATTCTTCATACATTTTGAACAAGGGTCTCACATCTTCATTTTTCACTGACCCTTGAAAATTATGTACCCTGTTCTGATTTTGCCTTTCACCCCTGGAGTACTGTATTGTGATTACACAGTTGAAGTTGGGGGAAAGATTTGACAAGAGGAAAAGTAAATGCTGGGCACACTAATACTACAGGCACTGAACATAGGCACTTGCAATTTGAAGGATGAATGAATTTCTTGGGACAGTTCAAGGGAGGAGGCTCTTAGAAGTAATCAGCCCTATTACAAAGCTCTTAAACATACTTTCAGAAATCAGAAGAGTAGTTGCTTATGGAGGACGATGGAGTGGGGATTAACTGGGAAGCAGCATGTGGGAACTGTCTAGGGTGACAGTAATGTTTTATATCTTGATAGGAGGTTTTATGCATTTAAAAAAAACTCAGCAAATGTACACTTAAAATTTGTGCATTTCATTGTTTCTAAATGTTTTACCAAATGAAAAACTATTGAATTGTAGTTAATGATGTTCATGCTAAAATATTTAGGGGGAAGTATATTCATGCTTGCAGTTTTGATATTTGAGTTGCATCAAAAAATGAGATGGATGAAGGTATGAATAAAGGGACAAATGGATGGATGGATGATAGATAGATAGATAGATAGATGGATAGACAGATAAATATGTGATAAGGCCAGTAAAGTAAAATGCTAATGGCAGACTGGAAGACTCTGGGTGATGGGTATATGGGTGGTCATTATACAATGCTGTCAACTTTCTATGACTGAACTTTTTTTTAAATAATAAACTGTTGGGAAAATAAACTTTCAAAAGAAAAAGGCAGTCTTCATTTGTTTATGAGATTTACTAGTGCCAACATTTTAGTAGACTTGGCAGTTACTGAGACAGAACAACTAAGCCAATAGTTGAATTGTGCTTTGCTTAAATTAAAAACTCAAAGATGCTCTTTTCAGATTTGCAACTCCATAAAACATTTATGAAGAATGCTTGTAAAGTAGAGGATTGCTTGTGCTCATCTTAAAGCCATTTATTGCTTGCACGTGCCTATGAATTCTAAGTCCTCAGAATGATCTATAATGCATGGAGTGCACGCTCTCAGCAGTGTTTTTCCTCTTTTCTTGACGTCAGTTGGCATTTGTAAGGGTTGCCAGGGTAATGACCAGACACATCTAAAGACAAACCTGCAAGAAAGAACTGCATACTTATTTTTCCCTTTCAGCATTAAATATATTTAAAATTCATAACACATTCAGTTTGATGAAATTCTACTTCACAGGAAAACCAGACTTCACAGTAAAGAACTCCCCCACGAACTCCCCTTCTTTGCAGTCCTGCTTTTAATTACTGGATTTTAAAAAACTGTTGATGGACTTTTATATATGCTACAGTTTTTATCTGGGGGAAAATTGTGAGGAGGTGCTGGTTGTATTTCATAAAATCATTCTGGTAAAATCAGTAGAAAGACCTAGTTTGCCTCACATGCAGGCATGGGACAATTGGGATCTGTTCAAAAAGGAATATTTCATATTCCTTGGAAAGTGAGTGGTTTTTAAAAATTAAGAAATAATTAATACTTGGGGTTATCAATCAACATGGTCAATTGATGTGTTTCTAATATGACAGATCACATTAATTTCAACTTTTATATCCATAAAAGTGGAAGCTGCATAACTTTCATGTTAGCAAGTATGATTTATTTTGTGGCAGCAATAAATTAACCATTGTGGGTTGAGAAGAAACCCCATCATAGTTAAGTTGAATTTCATTCTGTTTTGAAATAAACTTAACCTAATGTTAGAAAATTAAATGCTCCATGCATCTCAGGTATTATATTTCTGTTGGTTATTCTTCTATTTCAAAATAAGTTTTTACTATTATATACTCTGAAGTGTGTATATTTTGGCATTAACGAAATTCACTTATTTACTTTTCAAATAAAATTGGAAACATTAAACACATGTTGTTTTCTAGGGAAATCCTTTGGTAGACACAGAAACCTTTTTATGTTTGAATAAACATTTGGAAATATTTTACATGAGAAACAGGAACATTTTTCTTGAGCACACTTTCCTCTAGCATGCCAACTATAGAGGGTCAGGAGTATATCTGCCTTCGAATACTTTTAAATTTCCTAAATAACCCGTTGTGGATTTTATGGTTGAATATAAACCTTTTTTTGGGGGGGGACAATTTCTATATTTGGTCTGCATCACTTTTTGGACAAAAGATTCCATAAATTTAGTACCAAGTGTGTAAGATTATACATAATATTTTTGTATGCATCTTGACATTATTGGATTCTAGGTTCATACCAGGTGTACTTTTGTTGTAGGATTTGATGAAGAATTTTGTGTCCAATTACTCAGCTCACTTTTTTTCTGTCTTCTGGGGATGGAATCATTCCCATTCTCCTGAGTCTTCACCGCAGGCCTCTGGCTCAGAGTCCGAGTCCCTGGAGGTCATTCTCTCTCCTTTGTTTTTTCGTTTGTGTTTGTTTTTGTTTTTGTTTTGTTGTTTTGGGATTTCTACTTGGGAACTTCCCCAGCTTCATAATGTCTTTCTTGAAAGTAATCAGCATTTTATATGTGTAAACAGATTTTAGTTTGATCCTTAAAACAAAGGAATGGATTAATATACGTTGCATGGTAACATCTTCATGGGATAGAAAAATTGCTAGCATGGGAAAAAGGGAAGGGGAGTGAAATTTTACAATTTGAAATACCCACTGGGTTGTGCTAAGCTTTCTCAAATTTTCTGAACCTCTGTTTTGCCTGAATTTTCAGGGTAAGGGGCATCTATCAATGAATCCTTTATGGGGAACTTTATGACAGTGAATTAGTTAGTCACTGAGTATTAATTGAGACCCTGCTTTGTTGCCTGGATCTGCACTGAAATCTTTCAGTATTTGTGCCTTCCTGTGACTTTCCCAAGTATCAAGTTTCAGAGACCACATGAAGAAAACCAGTATTGCTGTGGCTAGGTGGCTAAGTTGGTTGGAGTGTTGTATTGTGCACCAAAAATTTGCAGGTTC